TGTCTATATGTATGTGTGGTCRAAGATGACGTAATATGATTGATGACGTCACTTTGTAATGAAAACATTTAACTACGTCATGTTATTGTCAGGCAGTGACGTAAACATTGGTTGCTCGTATTCTCCACGATAAGTAGCTCCTGATAGCTTGATAGCAAAAGTTGTATTGCTCCTGAAATTCAACAATTAAAAAATGCTTAAATAATTAATTTTCGTGGGAAAATTAAATGGCCACTCATATTTTTGTGCTCAATGAATGTGTAAGCTTACCGCATTGCCAACAATGCCGGGTCTTTGAGAACGAAGCCATCGTACGGTCTGATAAATATCTATATTGTCTTCCGCCTCGAGTCTTTCTATGCTCARWGCAAGGGTTAGATACACACCACTTCGACTGGCACCGTCACTAGATGAAATATGGACATAACGTTTAGAAAATAGTKCAGGCAATCTAAAGGGGAAGGGCAAWACATTCGCTTGGGCTTCCTGCGTTTTGTCCTAWAGGGCCTGGTCGCTGAGGGAGAGCAAAATGTCCGWCATTATATAATSCCGTCGTTCTCTGCAATATTTGAAAGTTTTAGGCATTTTTATGTCTAAGAATTAAAGCAGCAGGCTATACAATCGAATTATTCTTTATTTATTTGATGCATTTGGTGAAAATAAACATCTTCAGAAAGTTTCATACAGTTAGCATTTTGAGTTCACAAGAAAAAAAAATTAAAAAATGTTTCGCGGAATATTATTATGAACCAGCGTTATAAGCCTGCGGTTGCCGCAAAGCAAAACGTGTCAAAAACACGCCCGCCCGCCCGCCCGCCCGCCTGCTCTTCACCGCCCGCTCTTCACCGCACGTGCAGCTCTGGTCATTATGAACAAAGATTCGGGTAAGATGCCTCATTTTATTAACTAGCGAATTTTAAGTTGAAAGCTTCTGTTGTGGAAGTCTAATGTTCTTATTTTAACTTTCGCTAGTTCTGCAACGAAAGCATGAGGTGCAAAAAACTGTCCTAGATCCAGATGGGTAAGTTGACAAACTGTGTACACATGATTYCTTTATAGGCATATGGAGTTGCGTGTTATCGTGAGCTTCTCAAATCCTTCTTCTTTTAGAGTTCAAGATGTCCGCGGCAAATGCGCGAAATAGGAGGAAAGAGTAGAGTTCGGACAGACTTTAATGTACGGTAAGAATATCAGCATCAAAAGCCAAGGATATGAATATTTACCCCAGCTATTATTTGTGAACTTTTTGTTGTTAAATTGATTGCTTAAAGTAATGCACAACGAAGGCCGTCTAAGTTAACGTGGAAACGACTCTGTCAAAAGTATGAAAAGCTGGCAAACTAAAAATMCATAAACTATGTAAACATTATAATATTTATCTACGTTTTGAGCAGAGTAGWCGCACTAAATTCGTGAAAAAGTACTAATTACTTCTAAATAGTGCTGATTAAATAATAGGAAACATAGGAATTAGCGTCATTTAGAAGAATCTGTTAATTAGTAATATTTGCAGGGCCCTTCTGAAAACCGCCTCGGCGAGTAGGCTTCCTGAATAAATATTATTTGTTATTATTTGAGTTCACCTCACCTGCAATGCACTATGGTAGGACCATGATCCTCCGCGAGCTGAATTTTCTGTACTTGCTCATGCAAGCAAATCAGGCCGTTGGTTCTTGGAGGTGTGCCRCTGTGTGACCAGTTATGGTACTGGAAATGGTACACTAGCAGACTATCTGTACTCTAAACAAAACAATTCTATTATTCCCGAGTGGGGGAGGGTGTTGTCCCTTATGGTAGTACTAGGAAGTGGATTGGGCGTGGATTAAATCGAGTTCAAAACGATTAATGAGATTCTTTATTTATAAGAGTGGCACTTGTTTGTGACCATCAGACGTACCCCGTGACAGCGCAGTTTTAGAACCCGCTGGGTGTGGTCGTCGAGTGTTTCTTCGTCTATTTTCGTAACAATGTACTTCCCGTAACGTAAACAGCCTTGTTCTGGCCAGTACAGAACACTTTCCTCCTGAGATATAAAACAGCAGCGATATAAATATAAAACCTTTCATTATGACCGTCAAGTAATAACCGCAAAGATAATATGCCTTTACTTTAGTATTAGTGAATAGGCGATATGCATTATGGCGCCGGTCATTTACTACAACTACCAGAATGCTTTGCCAACTTTCTTTTGTAATGCAATTAGTGCCAATTGTTTTATTAATCTCCAAGGGGATTAAAAATCTGAATAACAATAAAAATACGCAAGGCTCTCTAGTAGTTGTAGTAAAGTTACGTCATAATGCAAACGGTCTATTCTTGATAATGATCGAGGGCTATGGCTGAGAGATTGCAATAGTTAAATTTGCAATCAAGAGATATTTATAGTCAAAATCAGGAACATATCTGACAGYGAATAAAAAMGAACAAAAATACAGAGGAACACCCTCGACGGGACTCGAACCCGCAACCTTCGGCTTAGGAGGCCGAYGTCATATCCATTAGACTACAWGGGCACRTTCGCGAAAGTAACRCGTTTTGATTTKRGGGGTAACGACACTGTAGCATACAAAATTGAGACCAAAAAATAAAGAAAATAAACAAGTCATTTTGTACAGATGTTTCAAAAGAGGTCGAGAAAGAAGTAATAATGCACGATCCAAAGGTGTCATGGGTATTTCGTACTTAATTATGGGCGAATTGACTTACATGCCCGGCACTATCGGTTAGATCACTGAGCATGACAATAGCGGTACACCGCTGCTCCCACACCATCTGCCAGAACTCSAGGACCGTGTTCTCCATGGGAGCCTGTGTAGCAATATACGCCCTTCTTTCGTTATACCCCTGAAAAAAAACAACTACATTGGTACTACTTGGCATCTTATAGCGTGACATTATTATCACGCCGTCAAATTGACGGCGATTATTGCCAAGGATTAGTGCGTGACATAAAGTATAAGCAATGTGACTCACGTCAATAAAACTTGCATTGATGTAGTCAGAGTCACGGGTATCAGGCGAAACTGTCACGCAAACGCGATTCCGATCAACTACAAATAAAAACGAGATAAAACGTTAGAAAACTCTGATCAAGCAAAGAAATTGCTAGGATCGAAATGGTTGATGGGATTGTACTCACAAGGCAAAACATCAGGACAGCGGTTTTTCACAATGTTTTCACGTATCATAGCAACGCGTTGGTGAAAATCAACAAGATCGTGAACWGGAAGGTTCTGAAAGGAAAATTTAATTTATAACATGACTCGGTATCCAAAGCCTATATCACGTGACGCGTAGTGTTAAATCAGTTCTTCATAACTTACGTCAAATTCGTCATTATGTCTCCGAAGTGTTTCTGGKTCTGTAGCAGACACTGTCAGTAGTCTGGAACTGAGCTCGTTTGAGCTGGCTTCAGTAATACCACAGAAACAGGCATCACGTAAAACATCGTGAATGTAAGCGTATTGCTCCTGTCATCCGCAAGAAAAAAAGAAAATCAATAAGAAATATTGAACGTGCCAATCAAATAACCCTCATCCCCTCCCCTAGTGTACGTACTTCTGTCTGAACCATATAGTTTCTCTGTGTTCTCATCTGAGCTACAAAACCATACACATCCACCACCCCCTCTGCCAGTCTTTGTTCAAGCAACGAGTCAATGGTAATGAAAGTTCCTGTACGACCAACACCAGCGCTGTATAACAATTACAACACAATTAAAACAGTGATTCTGACTAAAAGATACAACCATTCCAATGGACGTTGTTATTGCTGGCGCGTAGCGTCCTTTACGCATATACGCACGTGCGTACTAGTGGCAAGGAAATATTATAGAATATTCACACAAATTACTGAAAAATTCACATAAAATTGATCCCTATTATATGCCCTCGATGTCTCTCAAAACGCTGGAAACCGCATTTCCAAGAGTTATTATTTCAAAATTTCCTGGGGGAGGTCCAGACTCCCTTAATAACTCCCGCCTTTGGCGGTCGTTTGACCCCGAGATCCAAAATATGAATCGCGTTCCCTGACATGTGCGTACTAGCCAAAAAGTGCACGCTACGCGCTAGTATTGTCGAAGGTGGTAGAATTATAATTACATGATATAACATAGGGGAAATCAGCCAACTATCCTTACCCACAATGCACCACAATAGGTCCATTGGAATCATGGGGGATACCCATTCGTAATTTGTGTTGGAAAATCAGAATAGAAGACGTGTTTTCAGGGACACYATGATCGGGCCAGGCAGTGTACTGGTATTGTGTTATCTCTCGTTTGTCCATACATTCTGGATCTGTGGACTAATGAACGGGAACATTTGTTACAATGCTACTGAAAAATACAAGCCTGTTTGGAAATATAAACTTAATGAAGCTAGAGCATGAGTCTTAATCGAGGATGAAGTGGTGTACATGATTTCGTATTCATGATTGGAGAGCAAAGAAATACGTATATATCACAGATGATKTTTTGATACAATTGTATTACTTTATCATGGACAGTTACTATTTGCGTAGATTTGTGGGAAGGATTTCGCAGCTTGCTTTGCATCATGGGAAGGCAATYCCATCAACCCTTTCGAACGTGTGGAAAAATGATCGAGTAGAAACTGGGTTTGAAAAAACAAAAAAATACCGCAAATGTCTAAAATTTATCTTATCTGACATCCTTACACGTAGCCATACYTACCCATACTAGAAATGTCCTGGTTTTCCAGTCCGTCAATGCCGTCTCTTCGACGAGAGAGACAGCAAGACTGCCGTACTCTTGATAGCCGTGTTCTGGCCAGTAACGTTCACAATCCGTGTAAAGCTAAACAAAAATACAGATTATATTATAAGAGACATAAAAGTAGCCGAGTTTCTATATGCCCTCCTCAATGACTTATTGCAATCAACGCAGTTTCATGCTTTCCACTGAATCAAGGTAAAAATTGTACTCCTGGAGAAAATCTACCCCCCCCCCCCCCCCCCCCCCCCCGTATGTAACATATACTGAGACTGAGGATTCCATATTCGCAAGTTCAGCCATTCACCAATAATAAAGAAGAACCGTGCGAAAACTCTTGGTATTTCCCAAGATGGCGACCACTCCAATTTCAAAGATTTTCACTAAGACAAACAACCCTTCAAATCATATCCTGAAAACTTTGTATAATTGCCCTAGTTCATTATGACATMACATCAAAACATTCTATTGTTTTAACGCTAAGGATTATGGTCGCCAGAAGGGATCAGAGTGACTGCATTTCAAATAAAATGTACATGAACAATCATTTATACATGATATATATCAAAACACGATTCATTGAGGTTCTACTTTTTTTAGTAGACAATATAAWTGGGTCCAAATTTCCACTGTTTTTGAGCATCGTGTTCCGATGTAAACATACTGTGACGTCATAATGAAATAGGGCAATTCAAGATTATTACCTTGAGACTGCCTTCATCATCRCYYAACATCACAATACTGTTGCAGTGTTTCTCCCAAATCATTCGCCAGAAATCGTTCACTGTATCACGCAAAGGTCCTAACAAAACATACACAAAAAGTCTTGTTATTCAAGTTATAGAAGCAAATGTCAATCATCAAAGTTACCTTTAGTCTCCTCGCAGCCGTGTTTAGTTTCGGTCACGCGTCACGCAAGTGTGTGGAGAGGTGGCGTGACGCGTGACCGAAACTAAACACGGCTGCGAGGAGACTAAGTTACCTTGTGCTGCGATGTATTTTCTGGGATGATTGTAGCCCTTCAATATAATCAAATCAATGGTTAATATTCTCCTTMACAGTTCCCTGCGCCATCTTGAAAGGTAGCCGTGCCTTTACATCGAAGCGAGACAACCGTTGAGCGTGCAATGATAGATACCTGTGAATATCTGTAGGTGTGAAAAAAAGTTTTAGATTTCTATCATTGCACGTTCAAACGGTCGTCTCGCTTCGATGCAAAGGTACGGCTACCTTTTCAGATGGCGCAGGCAACCGTGAAAAAAACTATTATACTTGTTCAGAAGTACATAACTGTACTTCTGACTTGTTGCAAAAATAGATTCGATATTTATTCAATTGTTAAAAGTGTTAATCGGTTGTTCGTTGCACTAAATTCTGGAATATCATACATTCCAGAATAATGCTGATGTTTTATTCACCAGTGTTCAATATTGAATCACCGTTTCTCTGAAATATAACAATTTCTCATGATACATCGGGTGATATGAAGAAYCACAATAATTCCCTCAATTACTTACATCTATATAGCTGGCATTAATATAATCATATCCTGCCGGAGAGTCTTTACGGACTTTGAGACCAACACGTGAATGGTCATCTAATGTAACGAAAGTAAACTCATGACACTTAGATTCAGCTCAAATTGTAGAACATGGTGGAATAATGGCTAAATGGGATCTCCCAAGTGGACYAAATTTGAAAGTTTAATGTCCGGATGCACAGATGTCCGAGAAATACGGGATACAAAACCCCTTAAACCTGTCCCGTAGACATTGTTGCTGTTAAAGTATGGAGACGATATTTCTCGTTGTTCACCTTGTCTGAAAACTAAAAACCAGTCGCGCATCAGAAACCAAGGAGCTCTGAAGGTAAACTTGAACAGCGAAAATGTTGCACGACAAGTTGAGGTTTTTTCCATGTCGTATTTCTCGATCTTCAGGCATTCGATTTTGAATGACGAAACGAATTCATTCCGATTTTATTTTAAGCCTTCAAAGGTCATCAATTTTCCACTATTTCCCAATGATTTAATGGTTATTATATTGCCCTACTCACAGGGTAGTATGTTGGGATAACGATTTTTCTTTCTGTTGTATGCTGCTTGACTCGCTTCATATGTCGCCCGCAAAGGCACATGATTCAAGGACTGAAAAAAAGAAAATAATTTCGACATATTGTTATAGTGTTAATTTGCTGAATTCAATGCGGATAAGAAGATACAGTATCTAAACAATGCTCATCTAGCCTTATGACGTCATGTGTGTTTTCGCGAGGTGCATCAYGGTATTGACGAAACTGGCAAAGATGGCGGACGTCAAACAGAAACAACGGAGTTCCTGTGGAAAGTGTCCAAACCCTGCACTTCCATATCYCTCTCCCCCCATGATTTACCAAATATGGATGAGTGTACCTTGAATTCTTCAATGAATAATGCGTCATCGTAGGCATGGTAACGCTCGCAGTGTAGTTTTAATTGAGAGACTGGGATAGGTTTGCGGGCGCCAACAGATCTTGGAATCATCGAAACTGAAAAAGACAGAATGACATTTTCTTTACCTTAAATATATATTAAACAAAATGAAATAATTCCCATTTAATTTACTTACTTAATTCTTCGTCGTGGGATTTTTTAGGTTGCCTGCGAGATTTTCTTATTTGTAAGAAACAAAAAAAGAAAAAGTTAGTTTTTACTATTAATTATAATGAAACGAGAGAGTAATGTCGATATCTTTGGGTTAAAAGAATCTTAGCAACAATAATATCGATTGTAAGGGACTGAGTAAAATTTATCAGGAGTGGCAAATCGTGGCACGCTTTTCTTTAGAAGTTTTCGAATCTGACCCCGTTGATTTTTCAGTTTCCAATTAAAGTTCTAGTAAATCTTAGACGTTGCCCTCCCCATCTTTAAGCACATAAAATGAGATGTTGCCCACCCTCTGGATTCGCAACCTCTCTCCTGATAACTATTGCGCAGTCCCTAAAACTCGATAATGAAATTKAACGAAAGTCTACTGAAACAGCATCCAATTTTAAAGCTTATTTATAAAGTCTAAATATCCACAGCTACCTTATCAAAAAGAATATAAAGAGTCCAAGAACAAACAAGGCGATAGCGCTGATAATAAAGATTAACCACGGTAGCTTGATAATGTTGTTGTCCTTTTTGGCTGTAAACACAGAAAATATCATCATAGTGATCATCAATAAAATGAATTGGTAGGAGYAGCTCTTATGTCCAAGCCAGCTGTAAGTCACAATTGGTTGCCAGCGAGAAATTCAGGAAAAAAGAATTCTCCYGGCGAGGAATACTTTCTAAGAATTTTTGCCAGGAAAATAAAAATTTCTCAACTAATTAAACAAAAATAAGCCGGTTTTGACCTAACAAAAAACACTTTATATAAGCCTTCTTTGACCTTAGAAACGAGGAACAAAATTATTTATAAGAAGGAAGGGCACCACATTTGYTTGTGAGATTGTCAACAATGTAGCTCAAAAACCCTTTCCCAGGAAAGAATTCGCACAAGAACAGTTATAGAAGAACAGACTCCGTCAGCTAGTCCTGAATTGGTGATAGTCTTCGACTCTCAAACATTGATTCACTCACCAAATCCAACTTTATCGTCGCTAGATTCATGTTGTACWGTAATGACATCACTCTTTTTTCCAGGCAGAGAATTAAATGCTTGAACCTGGTCAAATGTTAAAACTACAATTATAGAGTTTTTCCCAATATATATTYAGTGTTTTCTACCTAATTATAAGACAAAGTTACAGGGGAATTTTGCTCTTGTTAAATAATGTACACAGCTCTTTCCAGAAAACGTAAAATACTAATAAAGATGGTGTATTCCATTACCAAAATGCATTGGTAGTCGTCGTAAGCACCGCTCTAAAAGGGGTGTTATTGTTTCTGAATGACTATGCCAGCACTGTACCTTCGATGGTAAGCAGTTTAGTTTAGATAATCATCATTTTATAACGCCACGCGCTTACGTTGCATTTTGATCTTGGAATACGCTATGGAGTGTCCGGTAAAGAATACTGTTTTCATTTTGGGCATCAGTGTTCAGTAAATATTCGTCTTAAAATATCATTATTATTATACTTACCATAATTCGATATTTTGCAGTTTTGTCAGGCAATATAAACGTAAGTTTAACGAGCTCTTGCAATATTCCATCATTGACGGTCTGTTCCCATAATGGTGAACCGTCATTGTCAGCAAAGTACACGATATATTTACGTATGACACCGTTGGGYTCTTTGGGTTTCTTCCACGAGACAACAAGAGTGGCTCCTTCTTTTCTGTAYACTGACAGTTCTAATGGCGGACTAGGACCTAAGAGAGATATAATTATACGAAAACAATGATAAAATAATTATAATTMCCAGTTAATGTTAAAGGAAGGGGTTATTTGAGCAATAAGCAATACATTTTCGTGCGTCCCTGATGAAATAAACCACGCGGGATGTTGAGAGAACACGAGAAAGGCGTAAAAACACTCCAACCGGAGGCGAGAGATTTTCAGAATTTTGAGTGTTTTCCCGGTATCCCGCGTGGTTTATTTCACCAGGAACGCACGAAAATGTGTTGTTTATTGCTTTTATATTATAGCATTTTCACATCCCTGCTTGAAATAAACAATAACATTTGACCAATCAGAGAGCGCGTTCTATAATAGCTATAATATAATAACATCTGACCAATCAGCGAGCGCGTACTATGATAGCTATAATATAATAAAATTTGACCAATCAGAGAGCGCGTTCTATAATAGCTATAATATAATAACATTTGATCAATCAGAGAGCGCGTTCTATAATAGCTATAATATAATAACATTTGATCAATCAGAGAGCGCGTACTATGATAGCTATAATATAATAACATATGACCAATCAAAGAGCGCGTACTATGAGAGCTATAATATAAAAGGKAATGGATCTAACTTACTATCYTCTGGCATCATCTGGTCTACTGGTGCAGAGAGCTTCCCCCACTTCCCATCATACATTTCGCGCACYGTGAACGTGTACATATTATAAGGTAGTAAGCCWGTTACTGTAGTACGCCTGTAGTACATTCCATCGAGCTAAAATAATAAATTAAAAATTGTTTTAATAGTTTGTTGAGAGTAAAGCAGTTTGCAAAAAATTGAGCGCGCGCATGAATCAACCTATATCGGTTACTTAGCCGGTTAAAGGCCCGGTGTGTACCATTATGCTTTGGGGGCCGGGAGAGCCGGGAGGCGGCCTTTTTCAGTTTACCGAAAKTCTATAAATTGTTCTGTGTGTTTCGAATCTTTGAYCATCTCACTTTTCTAAACACTTTAAACGCTAATATAAGAGTTTTCAACCATTTGAAATTCGCTTTATGGTGATATTTGGAGACTAAAGGTGTTTTGGTGTAAATCATAACAATAACAGAGGCGCGCAAAGCATAATGGTGCAAACTGGGCCTTTAAAAATGAATGTTACTAACCTTTACAACCTTTTGGTTATTTTCAGCTGATCCGTCAAGATCTCCCCTCATTGTCCATTTGACCATATATCCTGTAACTTGGCTACCTAACGGGTTGACAGAGTGCCACGTGACTTTGACTGTCCTTGGATTAACGACCTCAACACGTACATCTTGTGGCTGCCCAGGTACTGTAAAAACATAGGACAAATCATGAATTRTCTCTAAGGGTATGTCCTCTTATTGACACACTCTAATCAGCCAATCAGCACGAGTGTGGTAACATTGGTCTTACGCAAATGTCTCTGTTTTCTATAATATGTCAATGTCTGCTGACTTGTACTTGACCTTTTTTCTGATTATTCTAATGTGTGAATGTGAATTGGTGCTTGACAAGAATTTTGWAAAAGGTCTTGATAAATTTTAATCAAAAACGCAAAACAAAACCTAGCATAAGGCACTTTTAGATGATGTTTTGCGGTACAAAAGAACATCGCTCAAATTAGCATCAATTTTCCGTAATGTTATTACAGCTTTTAGTGATATGCGTAAAGTTAGTTGAGACACTTTTATCTGTTCATACTCCGACTTCACATTGATTGTACGGCTAATGCCAGGACACAAGGTCATGAAATTCTTACCAATCCTCTTAGTCCTAGCAATGACTTTGTCACTCTTGGGTCCAGCTCCTTTGGCCGTGAAAGCCCGGATCCARATCTGATACTCTGTATTAGGATCCAGTCCTTTGATAGTCACGCCGAGTACTGTGGCGTTCACTGTAACCGCGTTCCTTATGATACTGCTGTTAGCGGTCTTTCTCCGATAATGCACGTGATATCCTTTAAGGATGCCGTTTCTATGTTGTCGTGGTAACGGTTGCCAGGTTACCCAAAGAGCATGTGTACTTAGTGGTTTAGCGGTGATTCCATCAGGAGCGCGACTGGGGGCTAATGGAAAGAAGGTTTTATGAGTTTACTCACACGGATCGAAAAATAACGGAAAAGTTGAAATAACAGTTTCCTTTACTGCATCGCCTCTCTTCGTACTATAAGAAGAAAGGAATATTTTGGGGATTCAGTAGAAGAAATACATATTCAAGTAGATAAAATGAAATTATGTGTGTTCAAAGTCCCATTTAAAATTCCCCTACTAAATGATCTGAAGCATCTTAGAAAGGGAATTGCTGGTCCTGGGGACAGGGGCACTTAATGGACCTTAAAAACGAGGGATTTTGGACATTATCCTTAGTGCACCGTAAAATCCTGGAAACCATTCCCCTCCCTGAGTTGGGCTTAATATACACCCTTTTCATAAGTCCCGAGGAATTGTGTTCTCCGCACTTGACGGCGTCAAATTTTTGCAATACAAAAGGAATTCAAAAGAATAAATTTGACGTCATGTGCGGAGAACACAATACCTCGGGACTTATTAAAAGGGTGTATAACATAGCTACAATTGTGTAGAAGTACCATTCTTGTATCTTTATTATCACGATAAGTAAATAAACATTTCTTTGTTTATTATTATAACAGATTTTATTAAATAACGAACTCTTCCTTAATTCACAACGAGTATTCTCATTATTATAAATATTTCGCATATATTATTTTCTAAAATTTATTTTTTCTTAAAACTAATTGACTTCAATAAGGGGCCCGATCTCCATGTTTATTGGGAATGAAATATGCAACCATCAAAGGAAATTCATTGTTGTCATTAATTAATTATTAACTATCAATGTAATAAGTTCCGTTTGATTGGCCGCGTGCACTCGCATCCRGTCAAAACTGKTTTTCCAGCTATTGAACTTATAATCCCCTTRCAAGCTGGCTGATCGAAAGAGAATCTGCATCCGTGGTGCACACTATTTTTGCATCGCATTATGAAATACAGTTGATCAGTTTTTCCGTCATTTTTGSGYGTGATGTTTGCGCAGTGATTATTCTTGTTGTTTTCATAAATCTTTTTCGCCAATTTTTTCGATATGTCAGTAGACTTRAGGTATAATYTATTGGWTCGAGCGTAGAGATACTTTCCATCCTCTGATGTCATATCCGGYGACGTCATWTCTCCAAAYKTTGACGTCATTTCCGGWAGTGACCTCACTAATTKGTCAGAATTACTCATTTTTACAGAGTCCTGACTTTCTTTGTTATTTCTCGTCATGTCATTCTTGTAAGTAGTTCTTTTTACTTCCGGTACTTCTCCTTCATCGAATTCTTGGAGTAACTCGTCTTGGTTGCGAGTTAGTGCAGCGCTGTTCAAACACACCTGGAAGAAGAAATGCTTTTGTTTTATAATGGTGTCATCATTGTTTTAATTGAAGATTAATTGAACTGGGAAACACACTTCAATAACTTTTTGCAATTTCACTTTCATTTTCTTTCTTTAAGAACAGCTGTTAATAATAATAATTGTACAGAATGGAAACAAGCTTGGAATAATTTGATATTCAAACATAGTTAGCGAGCGATATACATACGAGACGGAGTAGAAGTACCTGTGGCATTTTTTCACAGATTTATGGTTACATTGAAAGAAKTTAACCCGTGAAATACTTTTAAGTGTACCACACGTWAATACTCTTGTTGTACGCGTTCTTCTMATTGTCTTCCTGGTGTATCACGCACTATGACAACTTGACTATTACATTTTGTTTCACGGATATGAAACCAATCACCAAGAAATTGACATTTCTCTATCTATCGTGTGTTTTTTTTTTTTTTGGATTTGAAACTCTTTTTCACGTGGTCTCTAAAATACAAAACGGGCCTAAAAAGATCAGTCCTTTACAATATTAAAACTAAATTGAAAACACAAAAAARGAAATATCATTGTCTAAAATACTACGGAATTAAAAAAAATTAATTACTGTGAACGTATGTCATCTTATTTCTAACTAATGTCTAAAAAACGAATTGTAAAGTATTAATACACATCAGTGTATTATATATTTATGATTTTAGACTCGTTTTCATTTGACTATGAACGATATTTTTGTGGCTAATAGTTGGTATTACAGTATGACTTCTATATCATACCAACAATTAAGATGCTAAACAGTCATTTTGATCGAACYGTCAAACAAAAACTACTCTAATGAAAGCATAACACAAGTTAACTAAACTTACCCCAAGTAGTACTAGAATAGTTGACTTCCAAAGCTCCATTTTACGATTGCAGTGGTACCTCTACGATAGCTCGAAAATTAGTTTTTTTATTGAGAAATTCCGCGCCCTTTTATGCAATACAGCATGTGGCCAAGATGCGCTGGATGAAAATAAACGCCTTCCWAAATTTGCCTACGTTTCCTGTGTTTAAATCAATAAAGTTATCGTTGTGACGTTCTATGTGATAATAAGATTAATATTATATGCGTATGGATAACTATTTTAGGTAATTAATACGAATTAATTAAGATTAAGTCTACTTTAATAGGGAATTCAAACCGTGGGAGCTCAATTTTAAATATTTGCGCAGTTAATTAAGACAAGATGTAAAGTTTATCCTTTTGTTAAAATGTTTGCTGATTTGTGCGTACAACCCAAAGTTGAAACTAGCTACAGGTGTTGATTCTAGTGCAGCAGGCAAAAAGTTTTCGGAGCGAATGACATGCGCGCGACCAAATGGCATTATGGGTATTTCTTATCGATTACCAGTAAGTCTGTTTTCACTATTTCAATCGACGACATATAAAGGACAAGAGGAGGCCAACAATAGAGTTAGGGATTAGAACAGATTAACAATGCAAAAGAAAGGGTGTTTGTTTTTTCTTTGATGAGCCATTTGTCGATGACCTTGAGCTTATTCCTTTTTTCGTCCTTATGGATTAAACGATTCTTCTTATGTCGGGTATATTCTTAGTCGATATCAACGACTAGACGAAGGTCTTAAAATGCCACGAAAAAAGTTGCTCTGTCACCCCCAATCGTCTGATAACATGAAATAAGGGTAACTGCTTCTTTAGAAATACAAACTGTCACAACCTGGTGGCCAAAAATGGCTGATTTCAATATCTGTGCTATATGTAATTCAACTTATATTGAATTCCAAGACAAAAAAGCATACCAAGAAGTAGATTTTAGGAAAAAGCTGCGCTTTCCATATCGACTCTCTTAGCGGCGGTAATGCCATCTAAAATAGAACTGTGCAGTTTACAGCAAGACTCAACAGTGTTATTAAACAAAAGGAGTTTTCGTTTGTTGATCAAAGAAAATAGGCGCTTACACCTGTATGAATGAAGGATTAAATTTAAGAGAAAAACATGACGTGGCTTTGTCAGAATATTATTTATAATTCAGATAGCAAGTATATTGAAAAAGAATAAAAGAAGAAGAAAAAATGTAACTTAAAAATGATTTAGTGTTTCGTAGTGTAGTTAGCTCTAGTGTACGTTTTGTATAGTAATTTATGTGAATACTAAAGTTGTAAATGTGCATTTGAAAAATTAAAAAAATAATTAAAAAAAAAAACAAAAACAAAAAGCAAGTGTATTGAAAGAAAAAAAATGCCATTTCTCATTCTTCTAGAGAGCTATCTAGTCATAATACGACTATTTTTCCTGTGTTTTCAAATATGATTGAATAGGCAATAAAAAGAAAAAAAGCATTCACAAGTATCATGTGGTGTTGAGGTCGACAAGAGATRTCAACGAACTATCAATAAAACGAGTTTTCAATTTTCCATGTGGAATTGAAACTAGCAATAATTTGTATTAAGCTGGCAGTGTCTTTGATAATTCAATTTGTAGAGTTTGAATTCTCGGAACATGAGTAACTAGTAGTAAATGAACAACAAGGTGAGACGCGGAAGTAGAAAATTGTRACTRAATATCAAAATATCAATGAAATTGAAATTTACTTTAAAATGACCATATAATAGGAATCTCCTCGTAATTTTGTTGCCGAAATACATAGTTTTCCATTGTGGAAAAGTTATATTTACAGACGCTTTCTCTCTATGTTGGTCATAAATTTTCCATTCTTCCTTAACTTTTCCTATAAAAAATAAAGTCTTATATTTCGAGAGGGTAGCACGTAATAGTCCCTAGTAGACTAATAAACTTGTGGCCCTCTATATATTCACTCATACTCACTACCTCAACATTCATTATTTTACTACACGACATTCCTCACAGCTAGTTTTTGACTGAGGGCGGACGCTGGTGGTCATTCGACAAGTTGTTTTTTTTGTTTTTGTTTATACTGACAGTGGCCACCAATCTTTTGTTGACCTAAAGCGAATTATTCGTGAAAACAATACGACCAAACTTGCGTTTCGCGTCGTGTATTGTCACTTCAAAATTGTACGGAMTAGTAAAGAGAAAGCCACAGGTYCTAAAKAGAGTAAATTTTAAGTGATCGTCAAAATGTGCTACAAAAAGAGCTACTACACTAATAATAGATTMATTACCAAAGCAKTTATCGTTTCATCTGAGCTTATCTGAAGTGTCTTTGCRTTTYGCCGTTTGCATCCGTTGTAACTGTTTAACCATTATACACTTGGCTCTTGTTGTTTTATTTTCATTATGATGCAATCTTACTTTGGGATGTGTGCGTGCTGCTCGGATAGAAATCTTTCAACGATTTGTAGTTAGATTAAGAATTACTTAATCTTCAACGAGTTTACAAAGCTTTTATTTTTACCCAGTATACCCAGCAGGCCCTTACGGTCGTAGATTCACACAGGGAACCCAATTCACTACAGATTCAACGCTATCAAATAAGGAACTCCCTTACAAAATATCATTCATTCAGACTCWCGTTATCCTTCCTCAAAACGTGAMTTCAAAGATGAGTTTTAGTCGCCATTGTTGATGAGGCGTATGTTTGTTTATTTAGCCATCCTTCCTTTCGGTCTGGTCGYGCAGGGGGTGAGATCAARTTTCGATAAGTTTTAATCAAATAACTCTATAYACAAACTCTTAAAGAATGCAAATAACGCTTTGTTTATCTGTTGTTTTCCATCGGAACCGCGCTTTCATGGAGATATCGCCCGCGCATCTTGGATGTTTTCTATAGCGCACGCGCCTAATACAGATGCACCCCATCCATATTTCCCAGGGCTAGGCAACACAACACAGGGAACCCATAGTATATTATTGCTATCATTCAAAACGTCACYGACCTTCTTCGTGTGTTCGGACGGTCATCGGAGGGCTTCTCGGTCCACTTCCTGTTTTGGTAAAACCGGAAACAGTTACCTCATATAAAGAGAACGGCTGTAAAGACTTGATTTCAATACTTGAGGCTGAGGTATTTGATACGTGAGAGACGCCAGTACTGACGGATCGTTTCTTCCTTCCAGAAACATGATYATAAAACACGTAGTATCCTTGCAGTACGCCATTGACGTCATTAGCATCGATCGGACTCCATGACACCAGAATACTTGTAGGTCCCAGRCTCTGCACGCTCACTTGCTTCGGTGCAACACTGGGAACTAATATAGATAAATGGTTTTGTTGGAATTCAGCATTCTATGGATTCTTTTCTTATCAGTGTAGACATCTAACAGCGAAATGTTGAAATTGCAACCAAATCATATAAAAAACAACGCGTTTGATACTTTCAAATAATACTGATTTCTCTAGTACCCATGTGATATTTTTTATACTCAAATACTCGAAGCAGGCAGACAAAAATTGCACATACCACCCTCCTGAGTAGTCTTAGTGATCGGCTGACTAAACGTGCCCAGACCCCCGTCGGTTTTGGCTGCTACTATTATGGTATATTCAGTAAAAGGCACGAGCCCTGTGATATTTGTCATCTGTRTGCTAGCACCAACATCCCTTGTGACGTAAATGTTATCACGTGACTTCASTATCACGTGATAGCCCACAAGTCGAACTGCAAGGCTAGAGATGGYGACTTTATCCCATTGTACCATCATGCATTTTGGGCATGGACTCCACACTCTGACGTTGGTTGGTGCACCAGTACCTAACATCGATAGATTAAGCATCTTGATTGGTTAACGATAACTTCTGTGTTGTATACATCAAGTTGATTTGGGTATACTTTACCTGGTTTTGTAGTGATGTTCCATGCAGGACTGATCACGCCAATCCTAAGAATCTGGTGAACGCGCGTCATTCCCGCAAGCTTTACCTCGTGCCAAGTGTTCCGCTTAAGACCAGTGAATGTGTAGCTCAAAGTGGTTGCATTCACTCTATCGCGTCGTTTGTTAGTCTTGCTACCTATTTCATCACAGATAACATTGTATCCTCTTAGTATCCCATTGATGTACTGTCGAGGTATAGGCYTCCAAACTACTGTGATCGTAGTGGTGGTTGATGTGAGACTGACGAGTTGCGGTGCTCTTGACGGTACTGTGGAAAGCATGCGGATTTGTTAGCTAAAATC